TCTGTTAGAGAATAGAAGGAAGTCTTTTATTTTCCTATGTGTTATAGCAGTCAAGCTGGAAAATAGCAATTTCTCTGTGATCTCTGGCACGGAATCAGAACTGAACATGTCCTGCATGTTAACAGTTGCTGTCACAGACTGCTTTTAGTTAGATCAGTGAAAAATTGTGCTTTTGGATGCCAGCCTACTGAAGCAGCAGTATGTGTGTCAACATGAGCACACGAGTTGTCCCATGAAGGTAGCAGCATCAGTCACCTGCCTGGCCTGGGGACGGGGCTCCGTTTTCTTCCTCGTGTTTCTGTGAAGCTTGAGCAGTCCAGAAATGGACCCAGTCTTCCGAGGTGACTGCATCCTGGCTGCTGCAACTTGAAGAAATATGTTTGGAAACTGGAGACTCTCCAGTTCTGCATTTGTTTTGCACTGATAACGGTTTTCTAGCTCTGTCCAAGACAGAGGATCATCGTTTCTGTCAGTAAGCAGGGTTTGCTTTGGGTTGGCTGCTTTGCCACGCTAATATTCCACGTAAGAATTTTTGAACAATAATCAGTACTTTTACCCGAAGCCATTTTTAAGTCCAGTATTCCAGACGTTACCATATGAAATGAATAGGAAGAGAATTTTTCATACCACTGTTGCGTGTTTGATAGCCTGTTGCAATATCTATTCCAAAAACGAAAGAGAAAAGTTAGGCAAAATATTCTCAGAGGTTTTTTTTTAATCTGCATTTTTAGTCTAAAATTGTAAAGTCTATGACTCCTACTGCAGTTGCAGGAAAGCTCGCTGAGATAACTGCAGCTGTAGGGTGAAATATGACTGCGTGTCTCGGGGCATCTGCTGAAGCCAATAAAACCCTGTCAGAGGTATTGAAGGTTTGGGAAATTACGGGCAGATAGAAATCGGAGAAGTACATAGGTCGTGATATGGCTAGATGGGTCATAACTTACTAATTTTTAGAAGATGAATAATGTTTAATCCAGCTGTTCGTAAATCATTTTTTACTTCTACATTTTTTGCAAGAAAAAAACAGAAAAAATAAAAAAATTATAAAGACAGACCATAATCACCTGGCAGAGCAACAACAATACATGGGTGGGATTCCCAATTGTGCTTCAGGGTAGCAATGAGTACTCTGGGAAACCGCATCCCTGGAAGCCAGCGAGTGCACGTCTGCGTAAGGGATTAACATTTATCAGCCCGATTTGTGCACGCTGTGATGCGCGGATGTAACTTTTTAATTAAAACTTTGCATTACAAGCAAGAATGGCTTGGACTCCTCGGTGGAACGGAGTTTATTTACTTCCCGTGTTATCCCCGCTGTCTGGGCAGGCACGCAGGACTGCTGCTGTGCTAGGGGACTCGGAGGAGCAGATGATGGATAGCAAACACTGATAAAATGCACGTGGGTGAGGGATTGTTTTGTGCCAAGTTATATGAAAATATCTGAATCACAGAATCACAGAATAGTAGGGGTTGGAAGGGACCACTGTGGGTCATCTAGTCCAACCCCCCTGCCCAAGCAGGGTCACCCAGAGCAGGCTGCACAGCACCGCGTCCAGGCGGGGCTGGAATATCTCCAGAGAAGGAGACTCCACAGCCTCCCTGGGCAGCCTGTTCCAGTGCTCCGTCACCCTCAGAGGGAAGAAGTTCTTCCTCATCTTCAGCTGGAGCTTCCTCTGCTTCAGTTTGTGCCCAAATTGTATGCATGTTAATTATTAGCATATATTGTTGGCAGCTACTTTAGAACTAATCTTTCCTTGAGACTGTAGAATTTCTTCTTAGGTGTGTTTTCTTGTTTGTTTTCACTTTTGTTAGTGCTAAAATTAAGGCAATGAAAGGTTTGCGCAGAAATGGGGTTGACAAAAACACACTTCAACATAATGGCTTTTTTTTGTCAGAACCGTAGAATAACTTAGGTTGGAAGAGCCCTTGAAGGTCAGCTTAGTCCAGCCTCCTCCTCAAACTTGATACCAGAGTAGATGAAGTTGCTCAGGTCTGTGCCAAGCTGAGCAAAAGCTGACTGAGATGTTTGGTCTTGGCTTCTTTAGTTTTTCTTCTAGTCTCCCAATGTGCAAGACTCATCTACTTTCACGTTTTACATCTTCTTCCAATAATATTATTCCATAGGGAATTACTAATTCAGGGTTGATTTTTTTTTTTTTTTTTTTTAAAAAAAGCACTAGTAATCTAGAGGCTTTCTGAAACCTCTGCCATAAAGAAGCGTGGAGGCTACTTTGGTACTTGAGGCTGATACCTGCTGCAATGTCCCAAAAGCCCGTGGTCCCCCTTTGTCACCATTTCCCGCCTTGAAAATGGGAGAACGTCGGTGCTGTGGCAGCAGTCGCTCTGAAGGTCACTGCGTTAATGAGTGATGAGGACTTGGACTCTAGAGCTGTGAAATGCTCCAGCTTTAAGGGTGGATTTTTTGATCTCAGTCTCTTAAAAGTCATGGGAGGTTGCCCCGAAGCATGGACTGGAGCTCGCAGTGGGCAAAACCACTGAGGACCTCTCTGAAGAGGTTCTAAGCCTCAGACATTTGGCTTTCCCGTGTGCAATTTTTTGATTACTGCATTAGCATAGTGTTTGAGAGTCATCTTTCTTCACAGTGCGTTCGATAAATTACGAAGCAGTATTGATCAGCGTGTTTTTGTGTGTGTGTTAGGTTAAAGCTAAGGTAAATAATGAACTGCAGTTAAATCAGACCGGTGACATTCCTGGAGGAGATCTTTAAAGAGAGAATTTAGTTAACGGTGTTCTTTTTATTCATCCATATGTGTATATAGATGTTTATAGCTGAAAATCTATTTTTGTTGATAGCCAAACAGTATCCTGTTAAAATTCCTTATAATAAAAAAAAGATACATATATCAACGTTAAGGTGCGGTGGAGGGGGAAGGCTTTTGCATTGATCAAAAAGATGAAACTCTGACAGTATCTAAATAGACTTAGCTATATTTTTTTTTTGTGTAAGTTATGTAATGTTACCAGTTACATAGATGCTGATGATACTTATAACATGTTATTTCAGTTCCACGTTCTTTTGACAAGGCAGACTGCCTTCCACTGGAAATTTTTTGTGGGAGAGGAAGGGGAGGAAGAAAGAAGTCATGCTATCAATTTTTTTTCCAGATAAAAATCAAACAGAGCTGTTTTTACAGTTCTGATTACATAAAGGGAAATAAAACATGCAAGAGATTCAGTGAACCTCGTAACTACGGTTTCAAAATACTTCTCGAGCATTTAAAGTATATATGATGAAATTGTATTCTGCTGCATGCAGAAGCTGAGTGTTCCAAAATTATCCTGCAGCACATTTATATGGATGATTTAAAAAGCCCCAGAGCCAAGAGTTGAGAATAGAAGTACAGACAGATTGAGACTGGTAAATATAGCGGTGCCAAGAGCGTCTCTCTCGCATACGGACCAAATGCTGTAGCTGTGGAGTTTGGCATATTCGCGTTGTCCCAGAGCAGGAGAACCGAGTGAGAGTTACGCAGGTCACCTGGCAAGAGGGCAAAGCCAGTCGGGCTTACGAATTGAACAAGCCAGAAGTAGGTGAACATATTTTGGAGATGTTGTTTGCTGTAATTTCAGCCTCTGTAGCCCACGCTTGCTCTTGTTTCAAGAGGAGGAGAATTTACATGGGCTACAGCTGGTCATGAATTTTTCACTTCAGTGCCTTTTGTAGATCTCTCCTGCCCAGGAGAAGTTTCTGACGAGAGGCAGACTGATCCTTGCCCACCTTGTGCTCTTGACCAGGTTACTGGGGTCCAGACCCTAGTTCTGGGACAGGGCTGGGAACGGTGGAATTCAAGTATCTGTGCACCCCTGGGGAATGATCTCCCTCCAGCCAAGGCAACCCTGAGGGCAATCTTGGAATCCACCAAGGGCTGTCCGGCTCAGCCGTGGGACCATTCTTCATATGGGAAGGGCTGGAAGCACAGTGTTTCCCGTTCAGCCTTGAAATCTGAATCAATGACTGCAGAACTGTTGATCTTCAACATGACATAGAATTAGTGGATGGGGTGGAAAAGAGACAGCTTGCAGAAGCTTCAGAAGAGATCTTCTTGCATAAAGTCTTCTTTCTGCGAGTATCCCACTTGTGCCCTCTATAGGCAAGAAAAACCTACCATTAAAAAAACGCATTTTTGGTCTGGAACAGGATGTTGCTTGTCCTGGTCATTAAATTAGTGTGAAATGAAGGAGGAGGAGGTGCCTGGGGAGTCTCTGGAGGTCTGGTGCATTTGGAGATAGCTTGGTCCGCCGAGCCATGCGGGCAAGGGCCCGGGTCATCAAGCAAGAGTGTTAGCGATATGTATCCACCTCTGTGCAGCTGATGGTTGTAGTGGGCTGTTACTGGTGTTTCTATGGTTTTGGAATTGAAAAGTTCACTTTATAAAGTCTTCACTATTGGAAAATAATGACCAAACTAAAGGAATCTGTTATTGCCGTAAATGACATTAAAAAAACCAAACCATCTATTTGAAGAAATAGACATTAGTGGTTTGTTGCAGTTTCAAGCAACTGATCATTTGACTCCTTAAAATTGGATTTCATTGCTGCTGAAAGACAACCCATTAGTTGTTTAGAAGGTGCTTTCCAATGCACTGTCATCTTTCAGCCACCTTTTCTGGTGGGCTCTTCTCATGGCCATTAACGAGGGATTTTCTGCAGCTGTTCCAGCTGTGTGTCATGGGTGGTGGCTTGAGTTGTTTTCCATATCTCTGTTAGTGGCATTTAATTTTTGTGGGGTGTTTCCATCAAAAAAAATCAACTATTTATAAGAGAGGGTGATGAATGCAAGATTATTATTCAGGGACTCTTGGATGAAGTGTTTAATTGTACGATGAAGTGCGAGCTATTCAGTTTTCTGGAGAAGTTCCTCGAGTCCTCCAACATAAATTCCTGGCCACCACACATGTGGTTCTCAGTTCAGTGAAGAGATCTATACTCTGCTCACTTTCACAGACTTAAAGTAACAATCTCTTTTGGTGCTTGCTCAGATCAGGTGGACCAAAACAGCAGGAAGTGCCTCTGACAGATTTCAAGACTCGAGTGTCTTCAATGAAACGCTGAGGATATCCAACATCCAGCGACACCAAGGAGGACGCTACTACTGCAAGGCTGAGAACGGCTTGGGTTCGCCAGCCATAAAGTCCATAAGAGTGGATGTGTACTGTAAGTAAACCGCTTGGGACGTTCTTACTGTGCTTTTTATTAATTTCTTATAATACCTGGAGTCACAATAGAAGTGACCAGCTCTTTGCAAAGCCCGGTTTTAAACTACTTCAGGGCAGATTCTGCAGCTTTTGGGAGCATTTATGGTCAAAAGGCTTGTGGCTGCTCCCAGTGAAGTCACATGGGGCTGCTCGCCTATGGAAATATCTTTAAAGAAAATCACAATACTTTGGTAAGAAAGATGAAACTCAGGTGCAACTCAGTCTCCTCAATTATCAGAGGAAGGTTTGTCTGCAGCTGGCATAGGGGGAAGATCTAGTACATGGCACAGCCCTTAATCTCTTGTACTTTTGTCTGCATTTGCCCTCAAAACTGATATGGGAGCAAGTACAGATTATTTTTTTTGCTATTTGCATTAATTATTGTGGAAAGACATTGCTTTTTTTTTTTTTTTACATGACAATCTCTTCATGTTCCTATGATATGGGGTTTGAAAAGCTGCACTTGAAATGATGGGCAGTGAAAAATATGAAGTATTGGGATTGCAATGCAGTTGGTCCCTAGAGCTGGCAGCAAAAGAGGAAACAATTGAAAACATCATACTGCAATAAACACACAAAATGGGAAAAATAAAATGCCAGTGTGACTTGCAGAGACTGCAGTGCCAGGGAGTGGGCCAGTCAGACCAAGCAAGGCTCTCGTTCATTGCTGTGGGTTCAATGGCAAACTTTGCATCTGACTCCATAAATTATGTGTTGGAAAGCGAGATGACCTACATACCTGAAACAACTGTGGGTTTGTGTACACTTCTGATGAAGAATAACTATTCAAAATCTGTTTGAAAAGCTCCAAAGATAGCAAGTCTTTGCAATACACATTTGGAGACTCTTCTGATGCAAGTCGTGTCGTGTAAACAAATACGTTTACATGCCACAGATAGGTAGGTGGAGCTCAAAGTTAGCCCTTCACTCTCCCGTGTCCTTCAAAATAAACCTGACTGTCTTCTGGCTATACAAGCAATGGGCTTGTGGTTCCCCACAGGCACCTTCTCTCTGTCAGACGGATCTCAGGATGTGTGTTAGTTCAGAGACCCAGCTGGTGACCAGTTTAGTGGGGTGGTTATGGAACTGGTGGAGGAGGGCGACTGGCTTTTGGGGGGTTTTCTTGCCTGGTGTTTGCACTTTGCTTCATGATGTGCTTAACGGGTTATAACATACCAATGCCAAATTTGTAAATCCTTTAAGAACAATAACTGAATTAGCGATTAATTGCTCATTAACACGTTGGAGTCCAATAAATGAACAGGCAACCTTAGAGATGGCATAAAAGCACACCATGCAAAGACGTTACAAGCATCCAGTGTTTCTAACGGGGCTGGCCCGAGGTTTGCGGTGAGGGCGAGCGGGACGCTCGGTCCAGGCAGCGTTCAGGGATCGGTGGTGCAGGTCGGGGTCCCAGCACCCGGTGAGCCCCAGAGTCCTCCACGCACACACGGCTGCTGAAAGCGTTGTGTCGGTCAGCCCTGTGTAGCCGTTCAATAAAAACCCCAAGAGCAAACAGTTAACTCTTCTTTTGGATGCTGTTAGAGCACTTCTCTCTAACCACAGCATCCACGTATGAGATTTTCTTTAATTTTTAATTTCAGGCATGGCTGTGAAGCTGATAGTGGCAGGAAAAGTAGCCTCCCAACTGGGATGCTACATGGTCTGAACAGGAAGGGTTGAGAAATAATGTTTTGAAATTTTGATTTTTCTTGAGTTTCATTGAGATTTCCTTCTGGAATACATCTTTTTCCTTGTATCATATTTTGTTTAGCTATTGATATGTGTTCTTGGATTTGCTGTCTGGGATTTATTACAGGCTTAACTTTGGTTTTTACATCATATGCTGCTTCTTAATATACCTCAAATACAGATGATGCGTTTCTGGAACATGACAAACTTCAGGTTCCAGCTGCGATTAAATCCTAGGTGATTTCCCATCGTATTCAGGCTGATATTTCACTAGGTATTTTCATCTGTTAAGGATCAGACATTTGCAGGCAGGCAGTACTGCTGTGGTAAGCTTAAGGTGCCAACGCAGATTGGATCTGGCTGTGAATAAGATAGGAGAAAAAACCCCTACATCCCACAGAAAAGTTCATAAGAAATCAAAGTAATGGGAAATGAAATATTTCTGTTGAAATTTCCAAGTAGCCACTTCTGTCTTTTTTGAGTTGAAATTTTCTGGTTTGATTTTCTGCTTGTTGAATATTTACTTTATGGTTTA